ATTTTTTAGGTATATCAGAATATATGTAGCCGGTCATACAATCACTTATTCACAACCTCCTGTGGGGCATAGTTTGAGTAAACTGTCGGTTTACCCCCTGAACTTTCACCTCACTTTCGATTTCCCCCCTGAACTTTTCCATTGGAAAATTAAGGACTCAAACTAATTTTTTTAGCCAATTTGCCCCTTACCGTTAGTTTTTCATATATTCCATCCATATTTCCGTTAAGTGAGACCATGTGCACAACATGTGAGGGTAGTTAAGTTATTTCACTCTTAAAAATAATTTAAAAACTAAAAATAATAAAAAAAACAAAACTTTCCCTCTATTTTTTCCCGCTAATTCCTATCCTCGATTTTATTTTTCCCTCTCATTCCTATACATGAGAAATGACATATGGTGTTATTGTCTACCATTTTTATTTTCTCTAACAAATTAATAATTTGACAAATGCTAATGGTGCTATTGTCTCCAAAGCAGTGCATTAATATAAGAAACCCTAGTCTTTTTTATGGACATGTTTATTATATTAATGCACTGCTTTGGAGACAATAACACCATGAGCATTTGTCAAATTATTAATTTGTTAGAGAAAATAAAAATGGTAGTACATGCTTCAAAAAAAAGATTCACTTAGCTACTTATGAAGACAATAACACCATATGTTATTTCTCATGCATAGGAATGAGAGGGAAAATTAAAATTGAGGATATGAATTAGCGGGAAAAAATAGAGGGAAAATTATTATTATTATTTATTTTCAGTTTTTAATCATTTTTAAATTGAAATGACTTAACTATTCTCACATGTTATGCACATGGTCTCACTTAACGGAAATATGGATGGAATATATGAAAAACTAACGGTAGGGGGCAAATTGGCTAAAAAAATTAGTTTGAGTCCTTAATTTTCCAATAGAAAAGTTCAGGGGGGAAATCGAAAGTGAGGTGAAAGTTCAGGGGGTAAACCGACAGTTTACCCGGCATAGTTTTCATTTCCCATCTCATGGAAAACTGTATAGACTTCTAATTCGGGACATGTAATAGTAATAGTGTTTAAGTACTTTGTCTATGAGTTTTTGTTTTTTGTGTGTCTTTCTGCTCGAGTATACACAAGTTGCTATGACAGTTTGGTTTAGGTCAAAAAACTCTTTTAAGTTTTTTGCAGCATGGTCTGTGGTGTATTGGTGTTTTGGAGTTCATATTTTCATGGAGCTTACTATGGTTTCTGTGCTTTTCTTTCATATAACTTTGACTTTCCGGTCTTTGAATAGTTGAGGCGGAAAGGTAGGTTGGTTTTGACGTTTACGCTGTTTACCTCATGTCTTTATTTATGTACTTTGTTCAAATGAAAAAAAATCATATCATATCATATCAGGGTTCTCCTTGAAATTTCTCGCTCTATCAAGAAATCATGTTGATATGAACTCTTGTTTCAAAGAATACTCCAGAACCAGAATTCTTGACATATTTTTACATCCGATGCTATCTTTTTCTTGACCAATATGTAATATGTATTCACTTGTATATCTCAATTGTATGCAGTTGGAAGTTATGGTCTGCTTATGATACTGGAAGGTCTGGCCAATACCAAACCTATCTGAAGTTGGGAACGCCCGCAGAATACGAAAGCCGGAAGCATACTATCGGATCACAAGTTTCTTGCGCAACAAGCACCACCCCAATAGCGTGGGGCAAGGTGAGTTCGAGCATGCTAACTGGGACTTCGATGATAGGACAAAACAAACACTTTGGTGGAGATTATGAATTGAAGCTTTCAATCTTATCGCACAATACGAGTAATCACCGTTCCTCGATAGCAATTAAAGCTTAATGTAAGAATCTCGTCTCGAAGTGAGCAAATTCGGAAACATCACCGCTGTATTTGACGACGGTGGAGACTTTTGAGAATACAGAGGAGATGGAGTCGGATTTCTGAGTCGAAGGTGACTAAGAGTTTCATGTGTGTAATTTTGCTTGGATGCTCATCATGTATGTAACGATGCTTACTTGGTATCATGACACAACTTGAATAGTAGGATATTGTCTCGGTTACTTTACTTTTTTCGCACAGGAGGTTTTCGAACTCTGAACCTAGCCTATTCTTATCCGTCATTTAACCCACCGTCACCGTTGGGGTTACATTTCTTCTCCTTCCCTCCCGCGTTCACCTACTCTACATCACCACCCATGCATCAGATTCTAATCGCAGAATGCGATGCCTGGGATTTCAGAACCCGGCCGATTGTTCTTCCGGTTTGATTCCGAAACCCTCCGACCTGAAACCAGCTCGCCGGCGTCCACTTCCCTAGTCCCGAAACATCAAATCCGGCTACCCGTCTCGAGCGTTGGAACTCGATGCACACGGGAACTCGATGCACGGAGCTGGGACCTCGGAAGTGGATGCACATTCATCGTACCGGTAAAGGTAGAAAAAGGGTCGTAAATTGCCTTTGATTACATACAGTAAATCGTTAATCCCTTTTCATCGCGCATGCTCTATAGAAAGAAAACGAGGAGAGAGACACAGAGAGAGAGGGAATGATTAACTTTTTTTCATAAAAATTGCTGCTCTCTTAAGTAAGATGGAAAAATGATTGCAGACAACATCTTAATTAATTTTCTGGTAGATTGAAATGGTCTCTCATTTTTTTATCAACTTTTTTGTAGGTCCATCCCTTAATCTAGCATATCTTGACTAGGTTAGTTCAGTAGGTTTGTTCAAGGTGGGGCAAACCCTTCACCAAGTCGTCAAGAAACCCTCTCATTTTCATATTTATGACCCAAAAAAACGACATTTCAATATCGTCATCACCTCAGTATAAGTTGAATATGACATCTTCTTACTGAATGTCTTTAGAGTTTAGACATATTGGTCAAGTGACGCGTTATGGACACCATATCAATATCATGTTATCGGCCCATCTTTTAATAGAACATGTGTCATGTCTAAAGAAAGAGAGTCGAGCCTAAAATATCAAGGGTATGAGTATATACTTTAACCGCTTAAGCTATAATCTGTTGTGTTAAACACAAATTAATCATTTCCCCAACATCCATAATTATGATGATAATGGATTGTTCTGTTCCTACCAACCAAAATGCCTACAAAAAGATGAACATATAGTGGAGTGGAGTATGTAATCCTTGGCTTAAATTTCTACCCAAAAAGCAAGAGAAAAGTATGGGTCTAAATTAAAATAGGCAGTTTTGGCACAACATTAGGGAAGGCTTAGGTCTCCTACGACAGCTGACAAGTGGTTTTCGTAAAGGAGGCAGATTGTCTGCCCTTCTCTTATAATGTCCTTCCCATCTCCTCCTATTTGTGCGGTTACGGTTAAGTCACGTTAATATTTTATATTCATATTATTTTTTATCTTATTATCTCTATAAAAAAAATCAATATAAAATGTTGACGTAGCTTAACCGTGACCGCACAAATAAAAAACGATGAAAAAGACATTTTAACAGGAGGGCAAACAATTTGCCTCTGATCAAGGGCAATCTTGCCTACAAGTTCATTTTCATGCCCCATCCTAGACCCTTCATTTTCCTCTCCCTTAGGGCTAGACCCTTCATTTTCCTCTCCCTATGACTGCTCTTAAGTAGGCATTAAGTATTATTATTAATGGCTTGTTACGAACTGCTTTTAAAATGATTGAATGCATTTTTTTTGAAAATATTTTTAAAACCAATCTTTAGTAGAAATGTAAGTGAATCATAGAAAAATACTTTAAGCGCTTTAGGAGCCTATAAACATTTTCTTTAAAAGTAATGTTAATCATTTTAAAAACAATTTCAAACGAACCCTAAGAGATTTTTACATAGCACATTGTTGTCTTCTTATAAGTGCTACAAAAAGGGGATATATTGCATTTAAGTTTATACACGAGGTATGAAAAGAATCTTACACACAATCGTAAATAAAAATAGATTGTAAAAACTAAATAAAATAGTATATGATTATGTTTTTTGCTGTTGGAAATAATGGATGGCGACAACAAATTGAAACCAAAGAATTAAAATGTTGGCATAACAAATGGATCACATCGATTAAATGCGCATTGCCATAAGCATGTAAATTTAGCATTATGTTGTCTCTTCCTTTTTTTTTTTTTCACTTTAACAGAACAACTTTTGATTTTTGTTGTATTTGCTAAAGAAACATTCTTTGTCTCACTTGACAAGGTGAGCAGGTGACAACAAATTATGGAAAAAGTTCAGAAAAAGGGGGGAAATTCTCGCAAATGCCCTTTTGAACTTTCAATTTGGTAATTGAGTTCCACCAATCTTTTGAAAATGTCGTCAAATGACTCAAATCTGTTAACTTTTTTCGTCAAATTAAGGGTTATTTTCATCTGTTTAAGTGGAGAAAGAAGAAAAAGTGTGATGTTTCTTATTATAAACGGCAGGTTGACACATTTTGGAAAATTAATGAAAAGAGTTTGAAAATTTTGAGTTTTTACGATAAGACAAAATAAAGGGTAAAGTGAATAGTACCATGATTGACTTTCCGTTAAAATTCCCCTCTTTTAAAGATTATGAAACTCGTAACCAAATCGAAAGTTGTGAAGGCAAACTAAAACAAAATCATAAGTTGTGAGGCATTGATGAAACAAAATCATTAAGTTAGTGAGGAAAATTCAATTGTTGGTGTGTTTTTTATTTAAGCTTGAATACACCGAAATGATTACATTGCTCTAGTCAAGTTAGAGTTATGAATATCTGTTGTTTGTATTTTCACCTCAAAAAATGCAATGCATGTGTAATATCAATTATGAGATTTTTATTGTATCCGAAACACGATTCGGTATGTCTTATGTTATTATACAAGTGGAATGAAATTTTTTTTTAGCATTTCTCTACTTATACAATAACATATGATAATACGAGCACACTAAAAAAATCTCTCGTTGGTTAAAAGGGAAGAGGGGAGGGTCCCATTTATGATTCTTTCAGTTATGGACAAAGAACGAAAGAGTGCCCCAATTGGCCATGAATGAGGGAGGACTTTTTTGTTTTTTGGTCATTTGTGTAACGTAATATGTAAACCCAAACTTTTTCCCAGCAAAATCCAAACCCTTTTGCAATTTTAAGCACCCCCTTTCTTTTTCACTTTATTCTCTCTCGAATCTCTCCCCATGTGACTTCATCTCTCTCTGTCAATTCAGTTTTTCAATTTCTTATCAAAATTCTGGTTCTTTTTCTGGACCTCAAAAGGCAAAATCCCGGATAAAGAATGAACAACTTTGAAGCTGCAGCTTGGAAAATCTGAATGATGGGCGCTTAGGTTCGTATCAAATTTTGAATTTTTGAAGGTAGGTGTTCTTTTCTCTTTGGAACCCATTTTTCTGCTGCCTGCATTCTTTCATTTCACCTCAAATTGCATGCATTCGGACTGGCGGACACACTGTTCTAGCTAACTAGCGTAATTTGTCATCCATGTTGATTGGTGGAGTCATTTTCTCTGTGTAACCCATTTTTCTGCTGCCTGCATTCTTTCTTTGTCACCTCGAGTTCTTGGCAAAACTCGAAACGACCTGATAGAAATTAGCCATCTTTGTTTTCTTAATAAATGGCGATATTCTAAACAGCTCTAGTCCACAGGGAGGGAATTCATACTTCGGTGCAAGAGGACGGACACGCTACCTGGTCAACTGGCATAACTCACGTCTGCAAGTTGTTATCTTTTCGTTGAGTGATGCTTATGATGAGGGACTTCCCTTCTTGTTTTGGTGAAAATGGTGTTCAAGTTGCAGATTTTTCATCATCATCTTCTTCCTCAAGAGCCACAAAAGCTGCCCAGAACTTGGTTTCCTGCGTCTACCAGTGCAAATTAAAGGGCAGATTGTGTTTGATCACTGTGACATGGACCAAGAATCTGATGGGGCAAGGCCTCGCCATTGAAATCGACGATGCAGCCAGTCATTGCCTCTGCAGAGTTGAGATTAAGCCATGGATTTTCTCCAAGAGAAAAGGGTTGAAGAATTTGGAGGTGGACTCTACGAAAATTGACATCTTTTGGGATTTAACAAATGCCAAGTTTGGTTCAGGACCTGAGCCATTGGAGAAGTTTTATCTAGCTCTTATGTTTGATCAAGAAATTGTTCTGTTTCTTGGGGACTTGAAGAAGGAGGATTTCAAAAGCCCTGCTGGGTCCAATTCCAAGTCCAAACACAAATTCAAATCCAAATCCAAAACCACAGCCGAATTCGTTGCAAAAAGAGAGCACATTTGTGGGAAAAAAATTTATGGAGCAAAGGCACAGTTTTGTGATTTGGGCAAAACCCATGATGTGAAAATTGAGTGTGAAACTGCAGGTGGCCTCCATGAGGCATATCTTGTGATCTGCATTGACAGCAAGATTGTATTGCAGGTACATTTTCGAAATTAGGATTCAGTCAATCAATATTTTGTGCGTTACAAATAAGTTAATGGGTGCCTGCCTAAGTCGTAAGTGGGCATTGACCTAAGTTGAAAAACAAAGTATCCACTCACGAAACCAGAAATATAAAATTATTTTATTGACCTAAACATTTCGTGATGCAGGTGAAGAGGTTGAATTGGAAGTTCAGAGGCAACCACACAATTGTGGTAGATGGGATGAGAGTTGAAGTGTTTTGGGATGTGCACAACTGGCTGTTTGGGAATTCAATGGGAGACGCAGTTTTCATGTTCCAAACTTGCCTTGATGTTGCTGCAGATGAAAGCAAGAAGTTATGGACTGGTTTGCCAGTTCTGGATCCTTCTGTGTTCACTTGGTCTTCTTCCTCTGAGCAGTTGAGAGAGAACCAGTTGCAGGATTTTGGGTTCTCACTGGTTTTGCATGCTTGGAAGAATGAATAGAAGTAGAAAAGCAAGAAGTTATGTTTTCAATTTTTGGGGTTTTACAAATACTTGGCGCCAAAACCTAGCGTAGTAGCGTTCTAGGATTCATACAGTCGACCTCACTTAGTAGAGTAAGGTTTTGTTGTTGTTGTTGTTGTTGGGGTTTTACAAATACTTGAAATGAAGCCTATGTTTGTGGTTTGGCAAATAACCTTATATATACAAAGTATGAGTCTTTACTCTCTTCTTGTTTTATATCAACATAATTGAAGGACATTGAATTTCGCTTCCGACTCTCTTTTTCTCAACTCTTTTCTTTATTTTCGTTATTGATTCTCCTTTAGCAATTTCATATCGATGGTATAAACAAAGAGATAATGCAAGGGGAGAAAAGGTGAGTGTGGGAACTCACTTTCCTTGTACGCAAATTTGGTTGAATGTGAATGACAAGCTATTACCACTTTTATACCATTTTTTATCATTGTTCACGCTCCATTGAAAAAGAAAAGAGAGTGCAAATACAACATGTAGCTAGAGTTGTTAAAATTTTTGTGTATATATATGCATTCTTCATTGGTTAGGACAAATTCTAGAGTTTAACTGTCGAATCACGTAGTTATGCAGTTACACACATAGAAAGATGTCACATATATTGCCCTTTCTCCCGTCTCCACCCATGATCCCACCAAATTCTCTTTAAATCGGTCTGCGGAGAAAAAGAGTAATTGGTTTGGTTCAGTCTCTTAGTTTAATCATGAAACTTGACTTTGATGGATAAAACTTGAATGGTTTGCGTGTTTGATGTGTTCTATGAACATTGAACAATTACGGTTTCTAGTAACATGTTATGTTTGTGTTAAATTTAATATTTAAGACCATCTCCGGTCCATTTAGAGTAAAATATAGATGTATAAAAGTAATCAGTACTATTTTAGATCAAATTAAAACATTTTTTTTTAGTACATCGATATTTTTACATTATAGAAAAAGTGAGTTTGGCTAAGTCACACATTGGATAGCCTAATTTGCTATCAAATTCGCCATCCACGAGATTCAAGCCTAAGAACTCTCACTTTCAAATAAAAATGAATACCACAAGACCGCATTACTGAATAGCAATTAAAACATATTTAATTCTGTAATATTATGAATTGAGATAGTGAAGCTTACTCATGTTGCAATTGCTCCTTTTAATTATTTTGGGCCTTATGGCATGTGATATCCTCTAAACCTTGGGCCTGTAGCTCACATATAAATTGTAAGTTTAAACTAAAAAATTTGTCTCTCTGATTAAAATACTAATAGCATGCTTATTTAATAAAATGTGTATCAAAATTATTTAGAGTTTTTCCTTCTATTCTTTTAGTATTGTTGAAAGTTGGTGAGTTGTCCTGATGATCAAGACTTTTAATTCACTATGTTCTGTATTTAAACCCTTTTTTTTTTCTTTAACGTAAATTAATATAGAATATCGTTTATAATAAAAAAAATTCATGAGTGTTTAAATATAAACTTTTATTAGCATTTAAAAAAAATTCAGTTTACACTTCTCACACGTTTATTTTTCTTTACATATTGGAGTGCAAATTGAGAATTTTTTAGTGCCAATAACAATTCTCGTTTCAATTACTACAATTCTTACTTCAAGAGTTTAGTTTATCCTATTCTGCTTCGTTCACATCTTTTTTTATGTTCCAAACTTGCCTTAATGTTGCTGCAGATGAAAGCAAGAAGTTATGGACTGGTTTGCCAGTTCTGGATCCTTATGTGTTCACTTGGTCTTCTTCCTCTCAGCAGTTGAGAGATAAACAGTTGCAGGAGTTTGGGTTCTCATTGGTTTTGCATGCTTGGAAGAATGAATAGAAGTAGAAAAGCAAGAAGTTATATTTTCAATTTTTGGGGTTTTACAAATACTTAGGCGCCAAAATCGAGCATAATAGCGTTTTATGATTTATACAGCCAACCTCACTTAGTGGAGTAAGGTTTTGTTGTTGTTGTTGTTGCTGCTGTTGCTGTTATTATTGAGCTTTTACAAATACTTGAAATGAAATTTATGTTTTTGGTTTGGAAATAACCTTATATATACACAAAGTATGAGTTTGTACTCTCTTCTTGTTTTATATCAACATAATTGAAGGATATTGAATTTCACTTTCGATTCTCTTTTTCTCGACTCCTCTCTTTATTTTTGTTATTGATTCTCCTTCAGCAATTTCATATCAACGGTATAAACAAAGAGAGAATGCAATTGGAGAAAATATGAGTACGGGAACTCACTTTCCTTTAAAGGTGCACACAAATTTGGTCGAGTGTGAATGACAAGCTATCACCACTTTTATATCATTCTTTATCATTGTTCACGCTCCATCGAAAAAGAAAAGAGAGTGCAATACAACATGTAGCTAGAATTGTTACAAATTATGTATAGATATATGCATTCTTCATTGGTTAGGATAAATTATAGAGTTTGATTGTCGGATCACGTGATTATACAACTACACACATAGAAAAAGGTCACATATATTGCCTTTTCTCCCGTCTCCACCCATGATCCCACCAAATTCTCTTTAAATCGGTCTGCGGCTGAAGAAAAAGAGTATTTGGTTTGGTTCAGTCTCTTAGTTTAATAATGAAACTTGACTATGATGGAGAAAACTTGAATGGTTTGCATGTTTGATGTGTTCTTCAAGTATGACCATTGACCAACTATTACGGTATCTAGTAACGTGTTATGTTTGTGTTAAATTTAATATTTAAGACCATCTCTAGTCCATTTAGAGTAAAATATCGATGTATACAAGTAATCAGTACTATTTTATATCAAATTAATTTTTTTTTTAGTACATCGATATTTTTACACTATGGGGATGAGGGAGTTCGGCTAAGCCACATAATGGGCAACCTAATTTGGTATCGAATTCACCATCTACGAGATTCAAACATAAAATATCTCACTTTCAAAAGAAAATGAATACTACTAGACCGTAGTACTGATTACTGAGTGATAATTAAAATATATTTAATTTTGTAATATTATGAATTGAGAGTGAAGTTGGGCTTACTCATGTTGCAATTGCCCCCTTTAATTGTTTTGGGCCTTTTGGCATGCAATATCCTCTAAACCTTGGGCCTCTAGCTCACATAAATTGTAAGTTTAAACTAAAAAATTTGTCTTTGTGATTAAAATACTAATAGCATGCTTATTTACATTAAATTAAATGTGTATCAAAACTATTTAGATTTTTTCACTTCTATGCTTTTAGTATTATTGCAAGTTAGTGAATTGTCTTGATGGTCAAAATTTTTAATTCACTATATTATGTATTTAAACTCTCATCTTTCCTTTAGCGTAAATTAATGTAGAATATCGCTTGTAATAAAAAAAATTCATGAGTGTTTAAATGTGAAATGTTATTAGCACTTTAAAATTTCCTCATAAGTGTATTTTTCTTTTTACATATTGGAGTGCAAATTGAAATTTTTTTAATGCTAATAATAATTTCCGTTTCAATTACTACAATTCTTACTTCACGAGCTTAGTTCATCTTATTCTCCTTCGTTCGTATCTTTTTATTTTATTCAAAAATTTTCACCATTCAAAAAATGCAAACATGCCGTGAATAATTTTTACCTATTATGGTAGATGCATTAAGACAAGAAGGGAAATGCTAAAGGGATTCTCTTAGGGATGACAACAGTTCGGTTTGAGGACAGAAATGCTTTTTTTATCCCCATAACCACGAAAATTAACCATATCCATAACCGCAAATTAACCATAAGGTATTATCCATAACCACATCCACCGGGTAACAGATTCTCATCGGTTAACAGTTATATCCATCTTCGTCAATACAAAAAATATATTCGTTCAATTGATGCATGATAATTTAGTAAATATTAATGTTGTCATTAAATATTTGATGTATAAAATAATTTAATGAAAGGATCTTGTGGAGCATAAAAATTGAAACTAAACATTGATAATATTGGCTGATCTTTGATATCTTTCATAAGTATTATTGGTCTGGATTCTCATAGATTTTTATTCATATCAAATCTTTTTAACTTGCCCACAAAATGCAACTCACATAGCGTAACTTTTGTATTCTCAAGGTAATGGATTCAGTGAATAATATATATTATTAATTATATATAATTCGGTTCGGATTCGGGGACGATACGGATTGGGAACCCCTATAACCATATCCAAAACTATAACCGAATATTATTCATGGTTTTTCTCTATATCCAAAATATACCCAAATTTTCATACCCAAATCCAATCCATTCGGGCAGTTATCCACGGTTATCGGTTTTAACGGTTAGAATTATCATCCTTATATTCTCTCAAAAGTGATACTCTTTATGAACTCTTTGTCACTTCACATTTTTAGCATATAATGTTGACACAAAAATCAACATTAAATTGAGAGAGTTCTTTTAATATTTTTCATGACAACAATATCTTAAATCAATTATGCATTCGTATATACTTTCACATTTTTTGTATGACAATGTGACGTAAAATGATGACGTTAGAATGATTGATGTTATGGAATCTAGTGATGGTTGGAAGCAGAAAAGTAAAAGAAGAAGAGCATTTGATGCAGTTATAACGGGGCTCCGATACCCTGCTGCACAGCCCGGCATCCATGGCGAAGCGACCCTGCCCCTCCCAAAACCCTAGAGCCCCGAACCTCAACCAGCTCGACCGCGACCACCTCCTCGACACATTTCTCGAGTTCTCCGACTCGCCGCCCTTCGCCATCGACCTCTCCTTCGAGCGCCTCCTCGAGTCCCGGGCCTCCGACGCCGATCAGACCAAGCTCATCGATCGCGCCCTCCAGTTGGGCTCCGTCCTCCTCGAGGCCGCCAAGCGCTCCGCCAGGAAGCGCGCCTCCAAGCACAACTCCCTCGCCTGGGCTCTCCCTCCCGACCTCACTATCAAGGTACGCAGAATCGAAATAGAACTGAATTGAATGCGAATCCGGCGGTTGATTGCGTAATTGTTCGGATTTTGGGGATCGATTTGAATAGAAATGTTGATTGTCGATTTTGGGGCATGTGAAACTGAAGATTTGATAGTTGCATTTTTGTTGATTTGTGTTTGTGGGTTGTGTTTAATTGCCTGATCACTGATCTTTCTGCTGCGTAATGATTTGATTCTGCAATTCATATGCGATTCTTTGTGATTACTGATTAGTGTACCCCATCAAATCGAAACCGAATTTGAGGCTGGTATTTTCTCATGTATT